GGGGGGGGGCAGGTAGGTATGTACAAGAAAGAAAGATATAGGGAAGAGGTAACTACAGGGAAGAAGCAGGAAGAGAACTGTTACACTGTGGAAATCGCATCAGTGTCATGAAACAAAATGTGTATGAACTGCACAATGTGTATGGAAAATGAATTTACCCAAATCACAATTAAAAAAAGAGCTTCAGAGTATAAGTAGAGCACTCTCACCAAAGTGAATTGATTCCTGAGATGGAGTTATAAAGATATAAGGATATTTTAGGTATTTTGTTAAAAGAGAAAAAGAGCTCAGAAACTAGGATGAATTCAATGAAAATGCAAAGAGACTTGAGTAACAATCTCAGTGGAGAAAATTTAAAGCGATGATAAATAATGTTGTGCATTGAATTATCGGCCACAATATCTCACCCTTCCCTGAACCTATACTATCTCACAGCGTCATGAGAGTACTTCCCTGACCCTTGACTCTGTCCCATCCATGTGACTTTCATTAACTAATGATATGTGTGTAGAAGCAATGTTGTACTAATTCTGAGGCTAGACCTTAGGAAGCTTCACATGTTAACTCTCACCCTCCTGCGTGTCAGGCAGGAACGGGAACACGGCAGGCCAGGCAGGTGAATGATTAAACCGGAGGGAATTATAAGAACTGGTCAAGCAAGGAAGCACCTGACCAGACCCATACCAAACCCCAGCACATGACCCTTACTTATGAAAGACCCTAACACCTGACCCTTGCTTAGGAAAGCCCCCAACCATTTCCTGCCCTCTATGTTAATGAAGTGCTTCAGCTATACTTCTGCCCCCATGCTAATAAGGTGCTTTTACCTTATTGGTCCCTGTAACACATACCCTGCTTTCAATCTGGTCCTCTAAGAACCAGGAAAAAATCACTGTAAAATCCCCTTCTTTCACCCAGGCGGCACGACTTCTCGGGCCTCTCTCAGGGACCTGTGAACCTCGCCCAGGAGCACACAATAAAGCTTTCCCAACTTTTGCTTTTGAATCCTCTCTTCCTTTCCACCGCGACCGCGACCCCCTTCGCTGCAACCTTACACTGTGCTTCTGCCATTGTCATGACCAGGCCATGCTCTGGTGAGCCAGCCATGGTGTGAAGCAGAGCCATCTCAGCCAGTGTGGCCTGAAGCAGGGCTGCCCCAACTGACCTGTAAACTTGTGAGTGAAAAATAATTGTTTATTGCTGTATGCAACTGAGAGTTTGAGACTGTTATGGAGCAATAGCTGACTGATACAAATGAAAAGCAAG